GAGAGAGAGAGAGAGAGAGAGAGAGAGAGAGAGAGAAAGAGATGCTCTATTAATATAGTAGTAGCAGACACGGAGCCTCATCACTAAGCCAGTGCCTCGTCCTTCCCCAGAACACTACCTCAAGTACGGTCCTTCGCACCCTTGGGTGTTCTCTCACAACAGCGTCCTCTGGAGTCGGTGTAAGACGTTCCCCGACCTGTGCTGGAAGCCCGAGTTCCTATCGCCCTTCTGCAGCCTCTTCCCCTTCCAGTCCCTCAAGACGGTTCGACTCAGGCTCAACCTCACGGAGGAACTACTAGAGGACAAGAAGTAGGCCTTTTGTTTACTCACTTGTTGTTGTCTGAAATCATCAGTTGATTGGACATGTTGTCAACACGTCTAAATCGTGTGATGCGTCGCAGGTTGGGCGTGCGGTTGCTGTTGCTGGTGCGGGATCCTCGTGGCACCTTGCAGTCTCGCCGGCACAGGGATTGGTGCCCGGGACACAAGGACTGCGACGATCCTGAGACACTTTGCAAGGATCTCGTCAGGGACTACATCACGGCGTCAGTCTTCAGGAGGAAGTTTCCTGAGTCCTTCAGGTGGGATTACATTTGTCTCTTCTTTCCTCTTTTTTTCTTTTCTTCTTCTTCTTTGCTTTTTTCTCTTGCTATTTCATTGACTATCTTAATTTATTATGATTGATGATAAAATGATAATGACAGTAATAAAGATACTACTACTACTATTACTAGTATTACTACTACTACTGCTATTACTAATAATGATAACAATAATGTTGATAATAATGATAATGAGACTAACATTAATAACAGTAACGAGGATAATGATCATCAAAATGATGGTGTTACTGATTATAATAATGATAGTTATAGTGATAGTGATAATGCTAATGCTAATGGTACTATTACTACTAACATCAATTATAATCACAGTAATGGTAGTTATGATAGCAGTAAAAATGCTATTAATGGTGATAATGATAACAGTAATAATAAAAAAAACATTAATAATGATGATGATAACAAGGATTATAGTAGTAACGATAAAGGTAATAATAATAAAAAATAATGATAATAATGATGATACTAATGATAATGATGATGATGAGGAGGAGCAGGTGGATGAAAATGATAATGATGATGATGACAATGATAATGATAATGATAAAAATAATAATGGCAATAATAATGATAATAACAATGATAATAATGATAATAATAATAATAATAATAATGATAATAATAATAATAATAATGATGAGGATGATACTAATAATATTGGTAATGGTGACGGTAACGGTAAAGATAATAATAATGATAATGATGATAATAATTATAATAAAGATAATAACAATACTAATGATATAGCTAAAAATAATAATAACGTTAACAATAAAGATGATTATAAAACAAAAACATAATAACAGAAATAACAAAATGGTAGCAATAATGTGTAATGTTCTTTGTTCTGTGTCTTTCATATATCACTTTTGGTAACGTGAAGTACCTACCATTAAACTTATAGAAAACCGGGCTCCCCTCATGGGCATAGCCCGGGCGAGGGCTAAAAATAAATAAATAAATAAATAAATCAATGCCCATATAAGACAAAGAAATCATTCTTAAAACTGTTTGATATAAATACTTAATGAATTGCGTTAATGTGTTCACTCAATAATGATGGTGCTTAGAAAATAAAGATTATATATGTATATATATATATATATATATATATATATATATATATATATATATATATATGTATATATATATATATGTATATACATATTGTAAGGTATACTCCTAGCTCAAGGCTAGGTACCATCTGTACGCAGGAGCCCGAATTAAAATCTCCCGTGAGGCAGGAGAGGTTTAGGGACCAGGTGAAGATTGAAGTTAGGGGTCCCGTTCACTCCTCTTGAGATAAGATAACAATACTCCCTTTGAAGGTTTAACATTGCTGCTTTTATCGTTTCTAGTGTCCTTCCACTGCAGTGATAGTATCGATAGTAGTAGCCATAGCAATAGTGATAACAGTAGTGGTAGCACGAGCAATAGCAGTAGTAGTGGTAGCAAGAGCAATAGCAGTAGTAGTGGTAGCACGAGCAATAGTAGTAGTATTGGTAGCACGAGCAATAGTAGTAGTAGTGGTAGCACGAGCAATAGCAGTAGTAGTGGTAGCACGAGCAATAGTAGTAGTATTGGTAGCACGAGCAATAGTAGTAGTAGTGGTAGCACGAGCAATAGCAGTAGTAGTGGTAGCACGAGCAATAGCAGTAGTAGTGGTAGCACGAGCAATAGCAGTAGTAGTGGTAGCACGAGCAATAGCAGTAGTAGTGGTAGCACGAGCAATAGCAGTAGTAGTGGTAGCACGAGCAATAGCAGTAGTAGTGGTAGCACGAGCAATAGCAGTAGTAGTGGTAGCACGAGCAATAGCAGTAGTAGTGGTAGCACGAGCAATAGCAGTAGTAGTGGTAGCACGAGCAATAGCAGTAGTAGTGGTAGCACGAGCAATAGCAGTAGTAGTGGTAGCACGAGCAATAGCAGTAGTAGTGGTAGCACGAGCAATAGCAGTAGTAGTGGTAGCACGAGCAATAGCAGTAGTAGTGGTAGCACGAGCGGTAGGCACAGAAGCGTGGTAGAAATTGTCGGGAACAAGGGTAAAAATAGGATACCGATAGCTCAGTAAAAGTATTAAAAATATGGTAAAGATAGAGTAAAAGAATCAGTAAAAAGATCAGTAAAAGAGTAAAAGTAGAGTAAAAAGGCCAGTAAAAGTATAGTAAAAGCAGAGTAGTAAAAAGGATCAGTAAAAGTATAGTAAAAGTATAGGTCAGGAAAGTTCAGTAAAAATAACCGTAAATAAAAGGCAAACACTTGATACATATAAAAAAAAACTGTTTAAAAACTTAAGAAATATAAAATGAAAAGCAAAAAGAACTAGTATTTAAAATGAGCATCACTGGATTTATACGTTACGTTACTTGAACTCATCTGTGTGAAATATTACGTGAAATGCCTTCAATATGCTTAACACGTCCAGCAAAAACCTAGGCAAGTAAACGAGAGCCAGTACAACCTTTGGTGTAGATTCGCTGCGAACGAGGGGGTGGTGTGACACAAACAAAGTTCCAGTTGACACTGTTTATTCTTTGTGTTCCCGGGAACTCGAGAACTCGTGACGTCACAACATAATGAATCATTTTTCTAAATAAAAGAAATAAAATCAAATAGAATACATAATGTCATAGGAATGATACATACAACATAAAAATACCAAAATCATTAAATAAAAGCCATAAAAACATGAACTGAAAGAGTTTATGAATAAATTAAAACATACTAAAATCATAAAACAGTAAAATTAAAACTCGTGAATTTGGAAAACGTACATTAATAAAATAAGATGATAAAAGAGATCATTATTACAAGTTAAAATCATTAATTAAGAAAAAATGTAAAAGCTGTGAATATTCAAATGTGCAGTGTCACGTCACGAACTGAGAAATCGAAAAAAAATATATAGGTAGCCGTAAAACACAACCTTAAAATAATACAAAATGAAATAAAATACAAATCAGACACATTAACTAAAACTTGAAACAATAAAACAAACAAATACAATTAATAGAAATAAAAGCGAAAAAAAAGAAAACGGGATGCGGGGTGTACTATAAGAATTACGCGCAGGTGATACATGTATGTACAGGTGTATTATATGTGGAGTGACAACTGGAGTGCCACGCCCCCTCCAGGTGAATGGTACATTCCACAATATATATATACATAAATATATGTATATATATTTATATATATACATATATATATATATATATATATATATATATATATATATATATATATATATATATATATATATATATATATATATATATATATGTGTGTGTGTGTGTGTGTGTGTGTGTGTGTGTATGAAGCTAATCACGTCCAGCTCCCCAGAGAAATAAAAGCCTGAATACGGAATTTAGCGTTCTGTCAGTGGCTCAGGAAAGTCTGGAATTTGGAGAAAGGAGATACCACCACACAACAGTAATAGTAATAATGGTGATAATGATGATGGTAGTATTGATGATGATGATGATAATGTTAATGTTGATTTTAATGATAATTACAATAGCAGTGGTGATAAAAATCATAATAATAATAATAATAATAATAATAATATTAAAAACAGTAATAACAATGCCACTACTAATAAAACAGAATGTTAAAAGTAATGAAAGCATTAATTATCTTGATGCTGATCATAATAATGAAAATAATGAAATATATAACATTAATGAGAATAGTTTTGTTAATAGTGATGATACTAACAATGGTGAATTAATGATAGTAATAATGATAACAGTAACAACAATTAGTGCTAATGTTAATGATACTGATACTGATAATGGTGATGATAATAATAACAATAATAATGATAATGATAATGGCGATCATGATGTGGATGGTGGTTATAGTAATAATAATAATAACAATAATAATAATGGTAATGGTAATAATAAAGATAATAATACTAATACTAATGATGATGAAAATAGTAATAATAATAATAATATTAATAATGATAATAATAATAATAACAATAATAATAACATTAATAATGATAATAACAATACAACAACAACAACAACATCAACAACAACAACAATAATAATAATAATAATAATAATAAAATAATAATAATAATAATAATAATAATAATAATAATAATAATAACAATAATAATAATAATAATGATAATAATAATGATAATAATAATAATGATAACAATGATAATAATAAAAATAATGATATTGACAATGCTAATGTTAATGGCGATGATGATAATGATAATGATAATGACAATGATAATAATGGTAATGTTAATGATAATAGTAATAGCAATAATGATGATAATAGTAATGGCGATAATATTGAAAATATACTAATAATGATAATATGAGTAATTCTGATAACTATGATTGAAATGATAATAATAATAATAATAATGATAATGATAATAATAATAATAATAATAATAGTTATAATAATAGTAATGATAATAAAAATAATAATGATAATAAAATATTAATGGTAATACTACTTCTAATGATAATATTGATAATAATAACAATAATAGCAATGATGATAAATAATAGTAATAATAATAAAATATAATTGAAATAATAAACACCTTTCCCTTGATGAAGTTTTGGAGTAAAATGAAGGAAGAGAATCAGCAACACACTAGAAATAAATGATCAAGAAATGCAAAACGCTCATGTTGCACAACGTCACTGGACAGATATAACGACTGATGAAACAATCAGAGCACTCAATAATACAAATCAACTGGAAGGCTGCAAGATGGGACGAAATTGCAAACTTCTGGATCAGACAGTTGGCCAATTTGCATGAAGACCTTGTAAAAGCGTACAATAACGTCATAGAACACTCGGACCAATGCCCTCTTTGGAGAGTAGCTTATCTTATCACAAAAACAGATGACAAGGCAATCCCTAAAATCTATAGATTGATGACCTGCCAATAATGCATCAAAACAAATCCATCTATTATTACAGATGGAACTGACATCTTCCTCGAGAGTTATAGATTATAACGTAATGAACAAAAAGGTTGCAAAAGCCATGGTTACAAGCAAATCAGTCCTTGAAGAAGAGAAAGGTAAATCTAAAAACCTCTCCATGGATAAACCTGTAACTATATAATTGTAAGATATGTAGAAAGTTATCCTACATCAAGAAAAGAGATCACTAATATCCAGACACATAAACATAAATAGTGGAACTTTCCCCTCTCCTCACGTATGCTTTGCATCGCGCCACCTCCAGTATCTATATTATTACATAATGGTGGATACGAATATAAGACCGCATAGCAAAATGAGTCATCCATTATATATAGAAGACTTAGACACGTTTGCTATAGCATAATATTTATACAGTAATCCTTGATATGATATTTATGCTTTGATGTCTGATATAATATTTATTGTATCTGTATTTATCTTTAAGACATTTATTGATGGATTTTTAAAGTTTTACATATTTGAGCATTTCAACCCAGCAATGTATTCGCCGCTAATAACCTTAGCTGTTGACGCGACAGATAGTTTTAAATAATCAATCAAAGATGACAACAAACAAACAGGGCTACTTACAGTAGTGAAAACTGATGATACAGAAATGGATTCAGCCTAGACAAATTTGCGAAAGCTACCTTAACAGCTCGGATAAAGCACCCTTCTCATTAACAGCAGAATCTAGGAGCTGGACCAAGAAGCTATCTACAAATATCTTGGTATCAACGAAGGAGATGGCATCTAACACTCAAAAGGTTGCAGGATGGGACTTCAGTGCTAACTTCTGGATGAAACAATTGGTCAGTTTGCACGGAGATCTAGCACAAGCACGCAATAACATCAAATTGCAATCACGGATGGAGAGGAATAATCCAAACAAAACTGGCATTTAAAACCCCTATTGAACGAGATCAATACCTCGAATAAACAAATGATCAGCTGCTTTAAATAATCAAAACTCAAGCCAAGCCAAGAGAAAGAGGCTCAATTCTGTCACTAAATAACCCAGTCCATTCCGAGAACTATTCCGACAACCAAGTCGAAAGATGACGAGGCGAACACTAACTCTGCCCAAAGCGTATGGAAGTGTGCAAGTGATGAAGCCCGCAAACAGTTCAAGATTTAATAGGAAGATAAAAGCTATGTATGGCAAGTACCCCCAAAATGCAAATAAGCCAGATATCGATGAGAAAATGACTAATAAATGCTGAAAGTCATCATGTCTAAAATGGAAGGGCTAATTATTGCATCACAAGACTAACTCGATCATACCACGACCGAATAATTAGAGATAACGCAATACAGAATTTGTGTTAAATCTAAGGAGACAAACGACCGCCGAGACTCAGGCTGCCCAGTACTTAAGCACTATTGAATAGCAAAATGCATGCGCTGAACCATCTAAAAGAAACACGATACACCAACCCAATAATATGTAGGACCCTGACCCAAAACAACACAAGAAAACGAACACACAACAAGCTCAGGGTCTTGTCCACCCACGCCGATAGAGAGAATAGAGTTCATTAGTAATTACGGCACATTCCCTTAGCAACGGTGGCTCTGGTTCTAAACAAAATCTCATCTCCTTGGATACAGTAAAAATGGCCGCATTCATGATCATTGCCCTTCTTTCTTTCTCCCACGATGAACCAAAATCTATCAACAGAGGCGAAAATCATTACAAATCGGATCACATACAAGCATTTTCGTATGCTGATCGGGTTGTTCGAGGAGAAGTGCAAGCTAGCATGAAGAACAAAGTTTATAAAGTCACGGTTATTATTGTTGATTGTTAAGCCCTTTTCAGCGGAGTGCATGATGTATTGTCTAGCCATGGAGAGACCTAAATATCTTGAAGACAAAATGAAGATTTGCAAGAAAGCAATAATGAATGTTGCACAGATATCTAGTGGACAACAAGCAAATGAGGTTTGGCATCGAATAAGGAAGGGGAGGTTGACAGCCAGCAATTTTGGTGCCGTTTTGCAAGCTAAAAAGGTCACCTAATCATTGATGAAGCGCCTTTTAGGGGAATATGACCTGAGTGGGGTGAAGTCCATCATGTGGGGTACTCAGCATGAGAAAGATGCTAAAACAGATTCTCAAAGACAACAGGATTGGCAGTGAATGAAACTGGCATATGGCTTGATGATTCAGGGATTTTGTGGCTCCGCCCGTTGGTCTGATAGAAGATGCACTCCTAGAGATTAAACGTCCTTATTCCCTGCGGAATGAAACAGTATGTGAAGGACTAAGGCAGGAGCAGTTCTTCCTAGTGGAATGTGAAGCTGGCCTTTTTTTGCGAGAAGATCATCCCTATTGGCACCAGGTTCAAGGACAGCTACATTTAGCAAATAGAAGAATTTACTCTTTTGTTATTTGGACCAAAAAGGACACGAAAATCTTACAAATTTTGAAAGATGCAACAATGTGTAAAAACTTTGAGACAGTTCTACTTTGACCATATTTTCCCAGCAATGATTGAGGCCTTAGAGATCCAAATATACAAAAAATATTCCCATTTCTTTCCTTTCTTCAGAATGTCAGAAGTTCCTGGCATTTAAATTCCTTAGTTTTGGGTAGTCAGTTTTTTTCTGAAAAGTTTCTTACATCAGTGTTAATATTTTTAGTTTAAAAAATAATCTGTTGCCACAGGCAAATGGATACAGAAACCATAAATAATGATAAAAGAATGTCCTTTATTTGCCACAATCCATAAAATGTTTAAATGCTGTACAGAAACCATGAATAAGGTTAAAAGAATGTCCTTTGTTTGCCACAATCCTGAAATATAATGTTTAAATGCTATATCAAGCTCTGGTTTCTTAAAAAAAAATACCAGCCAACAAAATTTGAATCAAACAGTGTCCCTTCATTGCACTCTTTGATCAGAGGAAACTGAAAATTGACCAATGCTGCGACTTGTTGTACAATTTTGTCTGCATGGCTTCTCAGCTTTGCTGGAATACTTGATAGGATCTTGAAGTCCTTTATCCTTGCATTTGCCCGCTCAACATGAATTCTGCAGCTGGCAATTTTTTTGTTGCAATTATTTGGCTTTTTATAAATTTCCCACGTTCTAAAAATGGTGGAATATTGATGGTCACACCAGGCGGGAGAATGTCAGCTACAAGGAATCCTTTATCAGCAAGGATTAAGTCACCAGCCATAAAATTGTGTATAATGCCACTGTTTTGAACAATGACTCTGTCTGATGTGGAGCCTGGGTACAAGTTGCTGACATAGGTTATGACAGCATTAGGTGAAACACCAATTAGAACCTTGAATGAATTCATTCCTCTGTAGGAAGAATAGGTCACCCTCTGGAGACCCATTTGTTTTGGCACTGCAATTTCAACATCAGTACAATCTTTTATAATTCTACAGTTTGGAAATGGCAGAAATGATGCTGGTGATGTCAACTTGTTTTTTTCTTTGGAAGGAAGCCTCTGCATAATGTCTTTGAAAAAAAAACTATGCAGAACATGAAGGAATGTCAAGAAAATGTTGGAAATAGTTGCCTCACTACAAGAGAATAACTGAGCTAAATGTAAATTTGTGTAATTTTGCCGCAGCTTCATCAGTGTAATGAAAATTTGGTCCTCAAATTTGATTCCATCTACCTTCCAGCCAAGATAATAATTACTGTCATTTTTAATTCTCTAAAGCTCTAAGACAAATAAAAATCCTCCTCTGACAAAGAAATGCACATCTTATAAATCCAAAAATCACTCTCATATGTAGGGACTGGATAACAATAATAATGAAAAAATAATGATAATAATAATGATTATGGCAATAATAATACCAATAGCAGTGATAATGATAATAATAATGGTAGTAATAAGAATAACGATAATGACAACAATACGATAACAAGAGTAGGTATGATATCAGTAGTTTACAATATCGATTATCTGCATACTCTGCAAAGTGCGAAACGACAACCAACTCCAGCAGTATTTTGCCTTAAAAGACTAACGGAAACCATTGTGTTTATGTATTTATTTCTCTCTTTTATAGAGCTGTCCGGTATGAAGACGTTTCATTCAACGTGTTCAACAAGACGAAGGAACTTTTGGATTTCTTCCGCCTTGACTTCCACCCCAACATTCAGAAATTCTTGCACACGCACACCAGCCGGAATAAGGGCGGCGTTTCCAGCACCTTCCGCGACTCGAAGGCCGCCCCTGTGCACTGGCAGAAGGACCTGTCGTGGGAGGAAGTGCAACGGATTCAGGGCGTGTGTGGCAAGGCCCTTCAGCTGTGGGGCTACGAGATAGCTCAGAGCGAGGAACACCTGCGCTCCTTCATGCCTGTCGGCCCCTTGGAGTTCTTTTGAGGGGAGTCCCGCATATATATATATATATATATATATATATATATATATATATATGTATGTATATATATATATATATATATATATATATATGTATATATATATATATATATATATATATATTATATATATATATATATATATATATATATATATATATATATATATATAACGCGAGCGTGTGTGTGTGTGTGGGGGGGGGTGTATGAGTATATAACAAGAACAAAAAATAATTTCTACGCTTCTACGTACTCTGAATGTACAACTTAACTAAGATTTTTTTAGCCTTTTTTTCCTGAAAGATCAAGCACTGGCATCATGAAAAATAAACTGCCAAAGAACAATGATAATAATGATAATGATATTGTTGAACAAGACTTTAACCCAACCACCCCGGATTGATGTTCTGCCCCGTGTTTTTTGTGAACGCTGTTACATTCAGATGACTCCACATGTGCTCAGCCGGCAAGGAGTCTATCAGTAGCCCTAATGACCGATCCTGATTTCCCTATTCCTTGTGTTTTTCTTTCTAATTCAGTTGTTATCAATACTGTTATTATTGTTACTTATGATTATTAACCCCTTGGTGCCGGGTATGACGTGTACGTACGTGCTATGCCCACCGTGAGTACTTGTTTGATTGTTGTTACGCATAGATGGCAACACTTGTACTAACTCCCCAATGAGCCAGTTACGAGCACTGCCCGTCTCGCCCGTTTACCCGTTTCTTTAATTTACGAAATATTTTACGTAATCTTATTTTGCTGTTACTAATGTTAAAAAAAATTATAATGTTTATGATAAAAATAACACCATCTATTTCCATAGCTCTAGTGAAAAATACGTTTTTCCCGCCATTTAAATAAGGTGCTAGCAGAGCCATCTATCGGCAGACATTTCACGAAAAACATAGAAAGTGGGCACAATATTTTCCCCATATTTTGTTCATTTTCCCCGGCACCATTGGGTTAAATTCTTATTAAAATATCGATACCATTTAAGACCTTGATGACTAAGCACTTGCAGAGCCATCAACGGGTAATTACAATAAATAAACTTGCATTACAGTAGGCATGGCATGTATTCTTGTCATACGGAGCGATTGGGTTAAGATACCTTTCCCTTTGCTTATATACCGTGGCGCTTCGGTACCACATTGATCAAATTGATTCCCTTGCTCATACACAGCTCTTTATTGATCAACGATTATAAAGTCACTGTATACCGGTTCGTGCTCACCTTTCAGCATGGAAGTGGTTTTAATGTAATGCTTGCTGAATAATTTTGATTCACGCAGGAAAAGGGATTTCCTGAACCCTGATGCTACAGTACTGTTTCATTAACAGTTCTTCTGCAAGTATATATATATGTGTAAATATATATATATATATATATATATATATATATATATATATATATATATATATATATACATATACGTATACATATATGAACATATATATTCACATACATATATATATGTACATACTAATATGTAAATATATACATATATATATATATATATATATATATATATATATATATATATATATATATATATATAGATGTATATATATACATATATATATATATATATATATATATATATATATATATATATATATATATATATATATATATACATATATATATATATATATATATATATATATATATATATATATATATATATATATATATATATATATACATACTAATATGTAAATATATACATATATATATATATATATATATATATATATATATATATATATATATATATATATACACATACAGACACACACACACACACACACACACACACACACACACACACACACACACACACACACACACATATATACACATGTGTATGTATATCTATCTATCTATCTATCTTTATATATATACACATATGTGTGTGTATGTGTGTGTGCGTGTGTGCGTGTGTGTGTGTGTGTGCGTGTGTGTGTGTGTGCATGTGTGTGCGTATATATATATTCATATACATCTCTCTCTCTCTCTCTCTCTCTCTCTCTCTCTCTCTCTGTATATATATATATATATATATATATATATATATATATATATATATATATATATATATATGCATATATATATATATATATATATATATATATATATATATATATATATATATATATATATGTATATATATATATATATATATATATAAGTATATATAAGTACATAAACAATATATGAACAGTACATAGCGCTACCTCATTGCAAGAGGGTCGTAACTCCAAATTCCTGATTTTTTAGGAGACGCATTTGAAAATTGCTAAGTCCTATGAATTTCATCATGTTTCACAAAACAACAAAACTTACCATCTTTATTAGGTGAATATAAAGATGGTAAGTTTTGTTGTTTTGTGAAACATGATCAAATTCATAGGACTTAGCAATTTTCAAATGCGTCTCCTAAAAAATCAGGAATTTGGAGTTACGACCCTCTTGCAATGAGGTACCGATATGTATGTATATATATATATATGGTAGAAAAACCCACAATGTAAAAACTATATTT